CAAGTATATGAATTTGAGTTTTTTTATCCATGTAAGTGGGACTTAAATACATCTTTATATGTTGTAATTTCATAATTAATTTCATTGTCTTTGAAATATTACTAAAGTGAACTGCAGAATGTTCTGACAACAATTTATGCTAAAATGTACTTAAATGTAATTTATATTTAAACTTGTATGTCATGTTGTAACGAATCATCCACTGAAGGCGAGAGTAGTGAAGAACCCATGTGCAGTTTATTTACAGACGTGATCCAAACATCCAAACAATATCTAAACAAGATACACATACTTGACTTGACATGAACAGACTTGACTTGACAAGGCATGAACAGACTTGACTTGACATGAACAGACTTGACTTGACAAGGCATGAACAGACTTGACTTGACATGAACAGACTTGACTCAATATCTGAAAGCCATTTCTCTCCATTTGATGGGGGAAATGGAAATGTATTTGAATTACAGATGTTTATGGAGATTGCTTGCTTTTATAATATTCACACAGTGTCCCTGCTATTATTTTTAAAGTTACCTTGAGACTTTTACACTCACATACAGCTGCACTGTATTTCTAGCTGTCATTATATTCATGTTTCAGCCGTATGAATGAACAGTGGTTGTGTAGCTTGACCTCCTCCGTATGCTGTAACTACAGCATCTGGCCCAGAAAAAGCATCTTTTTGATTGACAGCCATTCAAATTTAGCCATGCATCTTAGTCCTGTGCCAGTTGCAGAGCTGCTATTGGGATAATTGAAAATGCTAATAGATTGTGTTTTTCATCTCACCTTAAATAATTAAAACGTCAACATTTTCAAATGTATTTTTCAAAAGAAACAGAATAGATAAAAGTGTTAAATGCCATTTGAAGCATGCTTCTTTTGAGGGGTTGTTGGTAAACGGTTCTTGTGAAAAGTAGTCACATTAGCATGCTTTTAAAAAGAGTACTTATTATGGAAATAAAGAACATACTTAAGTGCAAACCGAATGTAATGTTTTTAGACACTTAACTGCATTTAAATTTAATCATACTTTAAATGTATATTAAATGCAAGTATATGAATTTGAGTTTTTTTATCCATGTAAGTGGGACTTAAATACATCTTTATATGTTGTAATTTCATAATTAATTTCATTGTCTTTGAAATATTACTAAAGTGAACTGCAGAATGTTCTGACAACAATTTATGCATCAGGAAACAATTACAAAATAAAAGACATGGACATGAACATGAAACAAAAACAAAACCCAAACCCCACATTACACATGTATTTAATTATATTTATAATTACACATTTGTAATGATAAAGTAAATAACTTTAAATGTAATATTTAATGACACCCTACTGTTAAACTTATAATCAAGTACTTCACATACCAGTAATAAATAGTATTATAAGGAAATAAAAAAAGTAAATAGTAATATAAGGAAAAATAATAAATAATTAATAGTAATGTAAGGAAAAATAAGTGTACTACTTTAAAGCACAACAAAGATTTTTAAAACGTAATGATTTAAAATGTACCTAACAGTAAACCTTTTAAATTAACATTATTACAAAGTGCACTTAAAAGCAGTCCTGAAATGTATTATTTATTATATTATCTGCAGTGTACTCTCATTCAGTACAATCGAGCACTTTTTTTCACATTTCATTACTTGTGCATGAAAGCCAACAATCAGCTGTTGATATTTGGGCTTAAAGTATGTTTAAAAACGTAAAATGCCTTCAATTTCATTCCCTTATGCAGATACTTTGTTTTGTTTTCTTTACTGTTCCTCAGCCATGCCTAAATAAATCAGTGTGTCATCCAGTGCGCTGTGAAGTGGTTGTGGTGTGTTTAGGAGAGATTACAAATCAATGCTTCTCCTGAGCCAGTCCACTGTCAATAGACTTTCTGATAAGTTATCTACACACCTCACATTCAGTGCAGTCCATGAGCTCCAAGTAAAACATCACATAAAAACAGCATCAAGTTGTTCATGATGAAATTGGACCACAAGGACTCTGTGTTTCCCTTGATTTGAGAGGGGTTAGCTGCAACCGTATATATTTTCACAAACAGGAAGAAAAATATAGATTCATAACATTTAAAATATTATAGGACATAGACCCCGTTCTACCAGCCTGGTCTCATGTTTATACGTAGGTATTAATACGTAACATGTACAAGCACAAAACGTACATTTTTGTACGTTTTTATTAATGCTAAAACGTACAATTTAGACGTATTTCAACGTTTAAAACGTACAAATCGCTGCGTATTTTTAGCTAAAAAACGTAAAACGTAAAAAACAAATATTTACGTATCTTTTATATCATTAAGATATTCGTATCAGTGCATTTTTATAATTTTATCAATAAGCGATTTAGATTTTTAGACCCCTTAATTGCAATATTTGATGAAAGTCAAAGTAAATGAGAAGCAATGGGGGAAAAATACAATACTGCAATCACAGACATTCCTATCTGGGGAAATAGATTTCTCAGAGGACTGCCGGGTTAGCCGAAAAAACACTGGGCAATTTGCTCTTTCATTTTTACAGAGGTTGTGCGAGCAAAACACTGACATGTTTGATTCAGACAGGATTGAAATTACAAAGTATGTCTGAAAGACTAATTTACCTGACCCCTTTAGGGAAAACTAACCCTGTTCGAAAAGAGGAAGATGTACAACCAAAAAGTTGCTGAGACAGATAGATAGATAGATAGATAGATAGATAGATAGATCTATGAGCTTTTATTCAGATCATTAATAATTTATTCAGATTTTACAGCAATTTTAGTTTAGTTTAATTTGGCTAACATAAATTGAATTATGTTCAAAAGACAGGATTGAAATTACAAAGTATGTCTGAAAGACTAATTTACCTGACCCCTTTAGGGAAAACTAACCCTGTTCGAAAAGAGGAAGATGTATAACCAAAAAGTTGCTGAGACAGATAGATAGATAGATAGATAGATAGATAGATCTATGAGCTTTTATTCAGATCATTAATAATTTATTCAGATTTTACAGCAATTTTAGTTTAGTTTAATTTGGCTAACATAAATTGAATTATGTTCAAATGTTGTAAATATTTGAAACTTTAAACTGAATGTTTTCATTTTAAGGAAGGTTTTCATTTTAAAAGTCCTGTCATCTTCCCACAGGACCTTTTTCTGTGATCTTAAGCATAGACTGTGTTCCTTTTCATTTCTGAGTGCAGAGGTTATTTTTAAAGTTGGTGCTATGGAAGTCATTTATAAATGAAGCCACCAGGTGACTCTTCTGTATGTTATAGATGATCTTGGCTTGTATACTGACACTCACTTCAGCAAATAAATTACAGTTTGTGTAAAGGCCTGAGTTAAATGAAAAGATGTCTTTGAATCCGCATGAGCTCTCTGTCAAACTGTCTTTGATGTACTCAGAAAACTTACAGTAACTTTCAGAACTGACAGCATCCTCGGTCCAAAATAAATAAACACCATTTATTGAGACTAAAATGTAAAAATGACTCAAAAAACCTCCTGACAGATATAAATTTGACTTGCCAAGACACGGTGAAAACAAGGTAAAAATGATTAATCCTAATAAGCAGATTTTAAATGTGTACAGGTTCACCAAACCTTGTGCTATTTCTGTGTAGCAGTCGCTGCCCTGTAGACCCTTGTGAAGAATCTTGGTGTTATATTCCACAGGATGATATTCATTTTAAAAAAGATATCTTATTATTTTAGTCTGATTTCAACTGAATCACCCAAAATTGAAAATGTACAGGCTATCCTAGATGAAGTTTGTTCTTCATCAGAACAGATTTGGAGAAATTCAGCATTACATCACTTGTTCACCAATGGATCCTCTGCAGTGAATGGGTGCCGTCAGAATGAGAGTCCAAACAGCTGATAAAAAACATCACAATAATCCACAAGTCATCCACACAACACCAGTCCATCAATTAATGTATTCTATGCAAAAAAAAGCTACATGTTTGTTATAAATAAACTCATTATTAAGCCGTTTTTAAACTTCAAACGAGTCCTATATCCATAATATTGCTTTCTCCAGTAGAAAAAGTCGTCTCTTCTGAATCAGGAGAGAAATATGCACAGATCAAGTACTGTTTATAAGTGAAAACAGTCCAAGACATTTGAAACAAATATATTGGTGGATTTTGATGTGAGAGGACAACAGGGGGTGGACCTTTTCCCTGGAGAAAGCATTGTGCATTATGGGCTATTGTGGTTTGATTAATTTCTTATACTCTCAGATATAAAGGTATGAAAGCTGTCACTGGAGCAGTACGTTTTACACTTTTGTACTTAAAGAGTCCATTTTGGTACGGTAAGGTACATATTATTACCTAAAGTGTACGTATTAGTATCTACAAAGTGCACAAGTGTACTTTTTGAAAAGGTACCACCCTAGTGACAGCTTTTGTACTTTTATTTCTGAGAGTGTACAAACACACTTTTGCTTCACACTGGAGTCATGAGGATTATTGTGATGTTTTATCAGCTGTTTGGACTCTCATTCTGACGGCACCCATTCACTGCAGAGGATCCATTGGTGAGCAAGTGATGCAATGTTAAATTTCTCCAAATCTGTTTCAGTGAAGAAAAACTTTGATGGTCTGAGAGTGAGTACATTTTTAAACTAATTTTAATTTTTGGGTGAACTATTACTTTAACAACTATATTTGACACAACAGAAATCGCAGCATTTGTGTAAGCAAGCCAAAGAACTGTCATACCTGCAATAGGGCATTTCTTAAAGGCACAGCAGCAAAACAACTGAATGTGTCTAAGGGTCACAGAGAGGGTGAAACAAAAACAACTTACTAATATTATAAATGGACCTCAGAGTGGAAAAATGTAATAATAAAAACTGTATGATATGACCCCTTTAAAGTTCTCCATGCACACTGTAAATGTCATCACCAGTAAACCCCTCCTGACCTATCCATCAAATTTGGATTGCAATGTGTTTGTGTTTCTGTCCTTTCTCTAGATTTTTATATTTGAGAATAACATCTACTATCGGGCCACTGTGGAGAACAGATCCATCCGTCTTGTTTCCACTGGGAAGGAAGGTGTGATATTCAACGGCCTGAGCGACTGGCTTTATGAAGGTACGGAAGATTTGTATAAAAACATGGACATTTGTTTTCTATGCCTTGCAAAGCTGCAGTAAATGAGGTCTTGTCAGGACAAGTACTGGCCAGAAAAATCTTTATTATTCAGACCTGAGAAGAACTAAGGTGAACATTTAATAAATCAAAAGCAAGTATGCATCTTTAAAGATTATGTACTGTGATCTGCATGAAACAAGTTGTGTCTAATGTGGAAGAGGCAGATTTTGATGGTGATAGATTCTGTGCGAAGAATCAAAGAAAGAAAAATCAATATCCCAGTATCTTCCAGAATGCCACCACTGCTTTTGACAAGACTCAGTGGTTGTGGATTTTCGTGGTTGTGATGTGAGTCTCCCATTTAAACTTTAATCTGGGCTCATATTGCGGAGAGTGACCCTTGAGTTTATGAGGCGCCGAAGGTCTCGAAATTGACACTTATTATTTATTGAAGGCGATGAATGTATTAAAGAGTGCAGAGACTCATCCTGACCGTTTTCTGATGCTCCTGATCTCAGTCTCTCTGCTTCGGTTTTCAGTTTGTATGATTTATTTTTCTAATAGTCATCCACCATATTTGCATTCCTTGTTTTTTTTAATATATATATATACACTGTATATACGTATAGTTTTGGCTCAGTGATTCTGATTGGATGACCCACATTCAAAGCCATTGTAAAACCAGCCAATAATCACACAACTGTGATGTCATTTGAATTCTATATTTGTCGCTTGGCAACCCTAAACAAACTACAGGGTGAACTCCATCATACTGATATCATTCTTTGACATTTGACGAATATAAAACACATCTGGGCACATTGGACACAGTAATGTTTTATCATTACATACATACGGACACACACACACACATATGTGTGTGTGTGTGTGTGTGTGTGTGTGTGTATATATATATATATATATATATATATATATGTATGTATTTTAGTTTAGTTTAATATATTAAATGCAATTACAGCTAATTGCATTTAGTATATTTAAACTAAAATACATATACGTATATGTAACTTTAGAGTGTCTTTTGACTTAAGTACAACTTCAGTACACCTTTGTATGTAATTTCATATATTGTCATTGAACTGTGGTTAAAGTGTACTGCTGAATGTACTGACATGCATTTATGGTAAACTAAAATATACTTTAATGTGCATTAACTTTATTTCCATGCGCTTTAGTATGTCAGTCAACAAATCAAAGCTCAACAAAATAATGATTTATCATACTTTAAAACTTTTAATTTGACATTGGTACAAAGTGCACTTTCTTAAAAGTGTATTTAAAGTCTCAGAAAAATCTAGTTAAGTTGCTCATTATATCCAAGTACTCAGAAGCCAATTTATGAAATCTTGAATATAAGTAACCTTTACTAGATTTCTCTGAGGCAAGAAGTTTGCAAGATATTTTCAAGTAAAGTTAATAAATTGAAATCTGCGGCATACAAATGTACATTCAATACAATTAAGCACAGTTCTTTTTCACAAGATATTAGCATTCACATTATATACATTATTTCTTTCTGATAAAAATTCACATTTCCACCTTTCTTCATTCTGGCTGATGATAATATATGAACACTTATTAATTCATAGCGAGTTCTTGCTGACATGCTATTGCATTTTTGGCCATGAACAAGTGTTTAATGCTAGTAATAAAGTGGTATCACACCAATCTCGGCGTGAGACAGGACAACGCTCTGCCAAATTGGGGGGAAAAAAGCACTCTACACTCCAAGGGACTGTAATACAGAAACTTCCTATCTTGATTCTGGACTTAAGATTTGAATAAGTGAAATAAATGCCATGGTTTTTAAACAGATAGGATAGGATTCTAAGGTTAGGATGTTTCTGTAATATATCTCCAGCACTCCAAAATCCCAGAACTCGGTTTCCAGTCTGTGCTACACACATTAGGGCCTTTCGCACCGCTTTAGTTCCAGAACTAAATGTACAGTACTAATGTACTGGGACGATTTTGTGCGAACTATTTCCCAGTACCATTTAAAGGGTTGCATTCGCACTGACAGTGTGTACTAGGAAGTGACGTAAGCCGGTCGACAGCGACGTCATTTGTGCTCCAACTTGTTGGTTCAAATGTACATATGCCCCATGGACTCCTCTCTGAACTGTCCTTGACTTCCTGTCCATGGGTTTTAAGGTCAGTCATTGTTCATGTGTATGGCTCACAGTCGTCGAGTTCACCCACAGATCCTCTGAATGATCTGAATGATCATCAAGCTTTGTGCAGTCTGAGGCTGTTGAATACAAATCCAGAGTCTGTTCTGTGTTTCGAGGAAAACAGGTGGCCATGCATTCATTGACGATGGAGTTTATGCCTGTCAGAACCTTCTGGATATGGAGTTCCCTGATGTGCTTAGGGGAAGGTTAATGTATGTTAATTCAGATTACCCATGGCAACCAAAAAAGACTAAAACAACCAATATCCATCATTCCAAGAGCAGTTTAATTCCTCCAACTGTATGGAGTTGCATTAAAGTCGAACGATCCACAGTGTTCATTTACTTAATGTGATTTGAAATTAGCTGAAAGTTATTATGAGGAAAGTGTTCTGATCAACCTCACACCTACACATTCTCCTCTCTGTACTTTGGAGATCAAGAATGTAGATTGTTGCATTTTTGTGAGTATGCTTTCTTAGAGTAGTTCATCACTTTGCCGAGAGGATATTAATTACCTCAATCAGTCTGCATAATCAATGCTGAGTTTTAATTATCCTTGGATAATCAGTGAACCGCATGTAGTTTCTTGTTGTGGCAGAACACGTCTGCTCTAATGAAGATCATGAAATGAACCCTGCAAGAAACTCACAGTAAGGCGCACGTCTTGCAGTCTTGCGGCGTTTGCTTCTGCATGTTCGCAAAGATCGAAGGACATCCCGTTGGCTATTTTATGATTCAGAAAGGTGCTCACGAATTACTGCTGTCCTTTTTGTCCAAACTGCAGTAGTGTGGACTTCATAGCAACAATGAAAGTGTAAATAATCCCGCTTTATTTGAAATAATTATTTTGAATAAGACTTCAATTTTAAATTTGTAGTTATTTAGTTTTTTGCAATCAAAAACGTTGCTGTTTGAGACACCCTCTTTTTTCAAGAATCCAGTGATGATGAGACTGGTGTAGTATGTATTTTTAATAGAATTTTAAAATTAAGAGATTAGTAAATCAAATGCAAAATAATATGATTTGTTCTGGTATTTTAAAGCAATGCTCTATTTGAAAGGATGGGTTTTGAATGTTTTTGCAGCTAGTGCATTACACTGTGGTTGCTAACAACATAAAATGAACACATTCAAAACTTGAGTGTTCCGATGATTTGTACTCCATTTAATATTTATCTTATTGGAGAACCTTTCAGATATCTATCAGAAATACTTAAAACATAGATTTACATTGGTGAGCTTAATATGGTTACTTTTTCCTAATGATGTAATTTTAAAGGAAAAGTTCAGCAAAAAATTTCTGAAAATTTAGTCACCCTCGGGCCATCCGAGATGTAGATGAGTTTATTCATTTCAACAGATTTGGAAAAATTGAGCATTACATGACTTGCTCACCAATGGATCCTCTGCAGTGAATGGGTGCCGTCAGAATGAGAGTCCAATCCATCAATTCATTTCTTGTGAAGTGAGAAGCTGTGTGTTTGTAAGAAACAAATCCATTATTAAGGTTTCATTTTTAAACAAAAAAAACCAAAACATTTTCACATTAAAATTCACTGACATATTTTTTTAGAGCTGTTCTGGACTGTTTTTGCTTGTAAATAATACTTGATCTGTGCATATTTCTCTCCTGATTCAGACAAGACAACTTTTTCACTGGAGAAAGCAACTTTATGGATAGAGAACTTGTAATGTAGCCAGAAACAACGGTTTAAAGTTTAAAAAAATGTCTTAATACTATATTTGTTTCATACAAAAGGTTTTCACTTCACAAGACGTTAACTGATGGACTGGAGTCATGTGGATTACTTGTGGATTATTGTGATGTTTTTATCAGCTGTTTGAACTCTTATTCTGACGGCACCCATTCACTGCAGAGGATCCTGGCGAGCAAATTATGTAATGCTACATTTCTCCAAATCTGTTCCAATAAAGAAACAAACTCATCTACATCTTGCATGGCCTGAGGGTGGATACATATTCAGCAAATTCTCTTTTTTGGGTGAACTGTTCCTTTAAGCACTAAATCTGGCAGAACCTCCAGCACTCCAGACAGATTTTGAAGTGTTTATGACAGACCTCCCTACACCTCACAGCGGTATTCTGCTGCCCAGCATTTCTTGCCTTTCATTTGCATTAAGTTCAGCAGTTTCCGACATTTCGATGCTCTCACCCCTTGCTTTACACTACTGTCAATCCCACAATCTCTTGTACAAGTCTGCCATTCAGCTCCCATAGAGAATTAACTGAAAATTCTGCTCACTCTGCACCAGTGAACATGTATGTTAAGAAAGCTAAACTTCCCAGCCACATTAAAGGTGTCGCTCTCAGTACTCAGTTCATTGTAGTAGGCTATCCTCATATGACCATATGTTTTGATTGGAGCAGCCTGCTATGCTTATAGCTGAAATTAAGTTATTATTATTATTTTTTAAAGATTCTTTCACTTTAATTTCATCTCTCTTTTGTCATCTGACTTGCACCCCATTATTCGGTAATCTCAAAGGCTGGTTTTGAGAACACACGATGAAATGCGGACAGCTTCTTGTTTTTCTGATAATGAGATATCATTAATCTGATTAAAGCGTGTGTGAGGTTTGTGTGCAGTCATATCCTGAAGTGTCATTACAGCATTCAGACAGACTGCAGTCTCTTACTAAGGCTATCTACTGCCCCCTGCTGAAGTGAGCTACTAAACTGACCTACATTGCACGTTGCAAAGAGACAGGAACCTTTATTTATTTATTTAAATTTTTTTTTTGAAAGAAAGAAAGAAATAGTTTTATTCAGCAAGGATGCATTA